CCTCGACTGCTATACGCAGAGGGGAAGAGCTCGAAGGTGATGGATCGCGCCCGATGGCGAAGGCGCCTTAGCCAGAGAAATGCTGAAAACTGATGCAGACATGGTAATTTTCCAGACCCACGGGCGTTCCCATGAGCTGATTAGAGGCCCACTCCGATCAGCTTTCAAGCCTTTTATCTTGTTTTTCTTTTGGTTAAGTAAAAGATCGTATTCTTTGGTTAAATTTTTGTATTTCCAGGTCCGTTTCGAACCCACCCACTCCCGCAAGAAGCGCTTCGTCTATCAGGAGAATACGGTAATTCATCGATTTCTTTCCATTTTCGCAAAATTTAGGACCGAATGAGCTTCGATTCGACTGATCCATTCGCCGGTTACACTTGCTTTAATGACGATGCCGTCTGGAGGTAATAAGACCTACATTTTCTCAAGTACGGTAATTTTCAGCTACCTCAACCGCGACGACGTCCAAAAAGCGATCCACGCGAAAATCTACTACAAGGGTGCCGACTGGGAGGAGTGCAGGTAAACAAAAATTTGGTTTTGCGTTCACCAAAATTTTTTAGCGATCGTCACACCTCCAAGTATTTCCATTACTACCTTCTGAAGGAGTACTACGACATGTCGAACACCTTCAACGCGATTTTGGACTCGAAATGGTACAGATTCAGATGCTGCTTACTTTCTCTCAATCTCCCTCTCTCTCTCGCGCGCTCTCTCTCTCTCTCTTCCTCTCTAGAAATTTTTTATTCTAGGTACACTTCCAATCAGATGAGCCTCCTCATCTACAACGGTGACGTCGACACGATTTGCCAATTCTTGGGAGACGAGTGGTTTATGGAAGCCCTGGTTCTGGCCAGGAATATGACTGTAATGCCTTAAAATTAAAAAATTACCGCTTTTTATAGGTCATCCAGCAAAGGTCACATTGGTATTACCAGGAGGGTAGCAAGTATGAAAACAGCGTCGCCGGATTTGCCAAGAGGTGGTCAAATAATGTGGCGCAGATGACGATTAAGGTATCGAAACTGGATCTCTAGAATTCTGTTTAAATCTCTCTCTCGCTCTCTCTCTCTCGCTTTCTCTCTCTCTCTCTCTCTCTCTCTCTCTCTTTAGCTAGTTTTAAGGGATCCGGCCACTTCGTCCCCATGGACCGTCCGGCTTTTGCTCTCCAAATGATCACCAACTACCTGGCCGGTCAGACCAATTATTCCACGCCATTGGCTGTAAGTATCAGCTGTTATTAGGAATTACTGAACATAAATAAAACTTAACTTTCACTAAAAAATTTAGGTTGACATTACACCGGCTCCATTACTTCCCGCCTATGCATACACCGATACCCCGGTGACGAATTGCTCCAGAAAGGTAAGTAAATCGCCGAAACCGGATATATGAAGCATTGATGACTGTAACAAGTACGTTTCAGGATCAAGACCGCTTCTATAGTCTCCCTGGTGGCAACTTTGACAGCAACTTCAACCAGTACAGCGGGTACCTCGATGCCACGGCTACGCATAAGTTGCATTACATGTGAGTAACCTCGAGTAAAATGGTCTAGAGCAGTCTGGTGATATAGGACACTATACTCTTTACATCGTGAATATACGATAGGGTGCGTACGGTACACGGCGTAGGATACCTTAAGTAAAACGTACGAGACGATCCCATGGATCCGGTACGTACTAATGCACAATCCACTCCATACGCTACGGTATGAGTGTTCGGCCTTTCCAGACCAGAAAATTTAAGGGTAAACGATTACGCGATGTTTTTGATCTAGCCTTCTGGAAGCGGAATGGGACCCGAGTACCGCTCCTCTCCTACTATGGCTAAATGGTGGACCCGGCTCGAGCTCCCTAGTCGGACTGTTCCAAGAAAATGGGCCCTACCGAGTCGGAAGGGATGGAAAATCGCTGTTCCAAAATCACAATGCTTGGAATAAAGTAAGTCGAGTTGGCAGCATTTGAAAAATGGCGCTTCAGGTGAACTAAAAATTAAGTTGTTTTTAGTTCGCTAACGTGCTCTACCTCGAATCACCTGTCGGCGTCGGCTACTCCTACTCCATCGATCCGAATGAGACAATCAGTTACAATGATAATAATGTAAGTCGGGACAAGAGTCTCGGTTTTTGGGCATGCCAACAAATACTCCTTGGGAATCAAATATCTATGAATGCTGGAATACCTTGAATTTTACCTATCAGCGTCTGGCAAGATTTCAAAAATTGAATTTATGTCCATTACCATCTACTTTTTCAGACGGCCACCGTGAACTACGCGGCACTCCGCGACTTCTTTATGAACGCGTACCCGGAATACCAGACTCGCGACTTTTACATAACTGGAGAAAGCTACGCTGGCGTCTATCTACCTACACTAGCTGTGAAGTTGATCAACGGCATCAAGGCGGCCGATATCAAGGCCAATTTTAAGGTATGAGAAAGTTTTGGATCCACTAATAAACCTCGAATATCCCATGAGATTATCGAAAACTGTGCGCGTGGTGTTTTTCGTATTCCGTTTCAACACGAATTTAGGGAATGGTGGTCGGAAATGGGGTGCTGGACAAAAATACCGATCTCAACTCGATCATCCATCTACAGTACTACTCTGGGTTGTACAGTTACAAGTTCGTAATCGTTATTTTGGTGCTACGCCGAGAGAGAGAGAGAGAGAGAGCGAGAGAGAGGGAGAGAGAGTCCATCCTTTTCCAGCGACTACACCGACTTGGTGAACACCTGCTGCCCCGGAAATTCCAACGAATTCGCCTGCCAATTTTCGGATCACGTTGTTTGGGGAGATTCTGTAATTCCGGATGGAAACTCGAGTGATCCTTGCTTTAATAAGGTATCGATCTTCACAGAATATGTTTTGATCCAGAAGAGAGGTGAACCAAAACCATCTATTTCAGCTTTCTGACTTTATCCTCTCGGGCTACACATCGCCGTATGACCGCTATAACATGTATCAGGATTGTTATAACACGCCCAGCAATGGAATCAGGGTATTCGGTTTCTGCTAATTTCTCTTTCTTTATCTCATTCTCTCTCGCTCTCTCTCTCTCTCTCTCTCTCTCTCTGCTCTTCTCTCCCTTTTCTCTCTCTCTCTCTCTCTCTCTCTTTCTCACTATCTCTTTCACTATCTCTCTCTCAAAATGCAACATAATTTAGGCTGTTTCAAACTACAACTCTTCCGATCCATATGACGGCTACTATTGTTATATGGACACGGCACTGGAAAAATATCTAAACCTGCCGGAAGTGATGACAGCCCTGAATATTCCGTCAGCTGTAAAGGGGTGGAATGAGTACGTTTTTTAAATAACTCGAATTCTGTTTTGCAACTTTAGCAACGACGACATTTTCGACGTGTACATTCAGCAAAACATCGATCAATACGACAATTTTGCTAAAGTCTTTGATTATGGTGCAAAGGTGGGCTTTTTGTCTCTCGCTCTCCCTCTCCGTCTCTCTCTCGCCCTCTCACTCTCTCTCTCTCTCTCTCTCTCTCTCTCTCTCTCTATCTATCTTTCTGGAGCCGTACCAAACCGATTTTTAGGTCCTCATCTACAACGGCGACGTCGACATGGCCTGTAATTTCTTGGGAGCGCAATGGTTCGCCGCTAAGCTTCAGGACAAGCTTAAGCTTCACGTAAGACGGAAAACCTAAGTTTTTAGAGTATTTTAGGTAGATAAAGCCCGCGAAAATTGGTACTATCGGCAGGATCCAAACTACGAGAAGACTGTCGCCGGGTCATGGATTCGGTACACCAGCTACTTTGACGTTATTACTGTTAAGGTAAGCTGTCGAATGCTGAAAGCTAAAAAGCCAAAAAGCTATAAAAACCTTTTTTTCAGCAAAGCTGTTTTGCAAAGCTGCTGCAAACCTGTTCCTAAAACCATTTTCGGCGCCAAAATCTATTCAAAATGTTCGATTTGAAAAAACACCTCTGACTTCCAGGGTTCCGGCCACTACGTCCCGCTTGATCGCCCGATGCACGCGCTGCAGATGATTTACAACTTTGTCTACTACAACGACTACAGCACCCCATTCCCCGCGGGACCCACCACGACTCCGGGGCCAACAACACCGGTACCAACTACTGTAACTGGTGCTACGGTCACCGGCTCGGTTGGAACGACCGTAGGGGAAACTTTTAGAAATACTAAAAATTAGCTAAATGTCAGAATCTCTAAAAATATAGTCTCTAAACTTCATAATCTCTAAATGTCAGAATCTCTAAATTCCGGAACCTCTAAACACAGATTTTTGCGTAAATTGAAACTGTGAAAACTTTTTCGGGGATGGTTTTTTTGCGCTGATCCCTTCGCTAATGCAGATATTCTGATAGATTCCGACTACCGCAACTGGGGCTACGGTTACCGGCTCGGTTGGAACTACGGTGGCCCAGCCAACGACGACGAGGACTTCGTCACAATTGGGATTCCATGGATTCCTGATTATGTCTACGATAATCTATTCGATTCTCCGATTTTAGCGGATAGCATCGATTTAAATTATTGGATCTTGGTTACGGTAATTCTGATAAATTTTTATGAATTTAAATGTTTCCAATTTGCACCTTATTCCGAAGAGGACAGTACATTTGGCCGAATTGCTATCATAATGCCGAAAACTCACAAGGCCGAAATTTTATAATGCTAAATTTTTTTCGTGGGATTTGGGGGGATTTCCGGGAAATTCGTTTATGCAACTTGGTCGTGATAAATTTC